TTGCAATCTTGAGTTTTAAGTAATATATATTAAAAAACAGTATTTTACGCATAAAAAATGGTTTTTAAGAGTTTTTGTCAAATAGTTTATAGTATAATATAGATTATGTGTCTTTAAGAAAACAATAATGATTTTATTTTTGAATAAAATATAAATATGAAAAAAAAAATATCAATGTTAATATCAAATCAACTATTTAGAAGTTTTCATTTTTTATGTAATTTCTTTAATTTATTTTTTTATTATAATTTAACTTAAGTTTAATAATGAAATGAGTTTCACTAAATCTTAAGTTTGGATTTTGGTTTAATAATATAACATTTTATAAAGATAATAATTAAGTATTCTGTCAGAACTCAATGATTATTCTAATTATATTTTAAATTTTTTATATTTAAAATGAGATGTTTATCCTCTATTTGATTATGTTTATTTGCAGTTAATTACACGAATTCATATATGGAGCAGTAATAAGTTGTATTTACGCACAATATACTTGTAATATTGAGTTCTAATTAATATGCATTAATAAACAATATTTTACGCATAAAAAATAGTTTTAAGAGTTTTTGTCAAATAATTTATAATATAGTATAGATTATGTGTTTTTAAGAAAGCAATAATGATTTCATTTTTGAATAAAATATAAATTTGAAGATATCATAAGAATTTGAAAAAAAAAATATCAATGATGATATCAAATCAATTATTTAAAAGTTCTCATTTTTTATGTAATTTTTTATTGTAATTTAGTTTAAGTTTAATAATGAAATAATTTATTTTTGGTTTGATATTAAAAAATTTATAATATTAATAATTAAGTCTTTTGTTAGAATTCAATAATTATCCTAATTGTATTTTAGATTTTTTATATTTAAAATAAGATGTTTATCATGTATATGATTATGTTTATCTGCAGTTAGTTACACAGATTTAGATATGAAGCTTTAATAAGTTGTACTTACGCACAATCTACTTGCAATCTTGAGTTTTAATTAATATTCATTAATAAATAGTATTTTTTGCATAAAAAATGGTTTTTAAGATTTTTTATCAAATTGCTTTATCTATATTATCTTATAAAACATTTGACTAAAACTCTTAAAACTTTTAAAAACTCTTAAACTCGTTCATCCCTAAACGATTTCATCCCTATCCGATTTCATCTCATATCTGAATTTGTGTAACTAACTGCAGATAAACACAATCAAATACAAGATAATCATTAAATTCTAACAAAATACTTAATTATTGTCTTTATAAAATTTATAATATTAAACAACAAATAAATTATTTTATTATTAAACTTAAATTAAATTATATAAAAAATATATATTCTATATTATAAATCATTTGGCAAAAACTCTTAAAAACCACTTTTTATGCGTAAAATACTRTTTATTAATGCATATTACTTAAAACTCAAGATTACAAGTAAATTGTGCGTAGGTACAACTTATTAAAGCTCCATATCTGAATTCGTGTAACTAACTGCAGATAAACACAATCAAATACATGATAAACATCTCATTTTAAATATAAAAAATCTAAAATATAATTAGAATAATCATTGAATTCTAACAAAATATTTAATTATTATCTTTATAAAATTTTATATTTTTAAAACAAAAATAAACTATTTTATTATTGAACTTAAATTAAATTATAAAAAAAATCTATACTATATTATAAAGCATTTGAAAAAAAACTCTTAAAAACTCATTTTTATGCGTAAAATATTGTTTATTTAATGCATATTACTTAAAACTCAATATTACAAGTAGATTGTGCGTAAGTATAAATTATTAAAGCTCTATATTTGAATTCGCGTAACTAATTGCAGATAAACATAATCAAATACAAGATAAACATTTTATTTTAAATATAAAAAATCTAAAATATAATTAGGATAATCATTGAGTTCTAACAAAATAGTTAATTATTATCTTTATAAAATGTTATATTA